CAACCCAAACAAGCCCCAATCCCAGGATTTCTTTTCACCCAACCTAAATTTCCCCCCTCACAGTGAACGTCAACAAGATCAAAGACTTTGGCGAGGCAGCCAAGCGGGAGATGCTGAAGGACCGGCACGCCTTCGAGACGGCGCGGCGCCTCAGCCACGACTCCATGGAGGAAAAAGTGCCCTGGGCCTACCCCAAGGCCCTGGAGCTGCCGGCGCCGCTCGTCATCCCCGGCAGCGGCAGCCGCGAGCGCTTCACGCAGGCCGAGCGCGTCAAGGGCATCCTGCAGGAGATCTTCCTCTCCAAGGAGAGGTGAGGGAGGGGGGAAGTTGTGGAATTTTTTGGGGAATTCTGGGAATGGCGGGGGTCACAGGTCTCCTGAGGGAGCTGCTCGGGATCGGGGGTTTGTGGTGTTCTGAGATTGAAATATCTGGGGTTTGTGAGGGTGATTGGTGGCCATTTTGAGGGTATTTGGGGCGCCATTTTGTGAGGATTTTGGGCGCCATTCTCTGAGGGATTTGGGCGCCATTTTGTGAGGGCTTTGGGCGCCATTTTGGGCGCCATTTTGTGAGGGCTTTGAGGGCCATTTTTTGAAGGCTTTGGGCGCCATTTTCTGAAGGCTTTGAGCACCGATTTCTGAGGGCTTTGGGGGCTATTTTGTGAGGGCTTTTGGCGCCATTTTGTGAGGGCTTTTGGCGCCATTTTCTGAAGTCTTTTGGCGCCATTTTGTGAGGGCTTTGAGGGCCATTTTCTGAAGGCTTTGGGCACCATTTTGTGGGAGTTTTGGGGGCCATTTTCTGAGGGCTTTTTGGGCCATTCTGGGGACACTTTGGGGAGCATTTTGAGAGCACTTTAAGACTCTTTTTGGGGCGTTTTGGGGGTCATTTTGTGAGCACATTGTAGGCATTTTTGGAGTTCATTTAAAAAACACTTGAAATCCCTGTTTGGGGATATTTTGGGTACAGTGTTAGAAGCACTTTGGGGCCACTTCAGGCACCATCTTGTGAGGAATTTGGGTCCATTTTGGGGAGGATTTGAGCCTCTTTTTGGGGGTGCTCTTAGTATTTTTCAAGAAACACTTTTGATGGCATTTTGGGGATTATTTCAGGGACATTTTAGATGCTTTTTTTGTTACTTTGAGCCTCTTTTTGAGGACACTGTGGGAGTCATTTTGGGAGCGCTTTGGGAGCCATTTTAACAACTCTTTGAGTCACTTTCTTGAGATCATTCTGAGAATAATTTTTTCGTTTTGTGATCATTTTGTCCCTTTCTGGGGACACTTTGGGTGCATTTTGGGACTATTTTGAGGTCCCAAAAGCTCGTGAAAAATCCAATATTTCGGGCACACGCGCAACTGGAAAACCTAAACCTGGAAACATGGGCTACCTTTGGAGCCCCAAATCCTTTGGGAGTCCCTAAAACCCACTGAGCTTTTTTTCCCCACTTTTTTTCCCTCCCCTCAGCATTCCTGACAGCCCCCACGAGCCCGACCCAGAATCCTACGAGCCGCTCCCACCCAAACTCATCCCATTGGACGAGGTAAGCCCTTAAAAAAAACCCAAAAAAACCCCCCCAAAAAAACCCCAAAAAAACCCTAAAATGCCTTTCCTGACCCCCCTGTTTGTGCCCCCCCAGGACTGCTCAGGCGAGGACGGGGCCTATCCCGAGGGGCTGGATCCTGGGAATTCTGCAGCCTCTCCGGAGCCAGGGGCAGGGGCCAAACTGCCCCCGGTCCTTGCCAACCTCATGGGCAGCGTCGGGGCAGGAAAAGGCCCCCCAGGACCCCCCCAAAATGCCCCCATCAACATGCAGGAGATCCTCAGCTCCATCATGGTAACTCCCCCTAAAAGCGGCGACCCCAAAATTCGGGATGTGGGGGGGTGGGGAATTGGGGGCACCCCCATCATGGGAATCCCAAAATTTCAAGGATTTCCCACTGTGGGAAGCCCCAAAATCACAGGAGGGTTTTAAATTGTGGAGGTCACAAATGTGGGGTCATAAATTGAGGGATCTCCCCCATCCTTTGAACCCCAAATTTGGGACACATCAAAATTGGGGGAAGAGGGAGGGTCACAAATCGAGGATCACTCAAAAATTGGGATATCCCAGTTTGCAACACGCCAAAATCTGTGGGATCACACACTGGGGGGGAATAAAAAGGTGGAACCCCCATTTTTCCCTCCCCTCACTGTCTTCTTTCCCTTCCTCCCCACTTTTTTTGCCTCTTTTTCCCTTCTATGTTTCACTTTTTCCCTCCCTTTTTCCCTTCTTTCTTTCCCTTTTTTCCCCCTCTTTTTCTCCCCTTGTTCCCCTTTCCCCTCCTTTTTCTCTCGTCTCCTTTTTTTCCTCTTTTTCCCTACTTTTTCCCCTTTTCCCCCTTTTTTCCCCCCTTTCCCTTACTTTTTCTTTTCCCCCTACTTTTTGCCCATTTTTCTCATTTTTTCCTTGTTCTTCCCCTGATTTCCCCCAATTTTTACCTTGGTTTTCCCCTTTTTTTTT